AATGTTTCTCTCTCTCAAATCAATTTAAAAAATGAAAAGGAAAAGGATTAAAAATACATATATTGTTTGCTGTGTAAAGAGATGGATATTTACTTTTATGTCTTTAAAATTTTTTAACTTGTGATTTGCGTTTAACAGGACTGTGTGCTGAAGAGGTTCATTTATGTGGAGAAGCTGCTGCTATTGACCTGGTTACTGAGCTTTTGTACACGACTGGGGAGGAAGTGGAGGTACTCGATTATATGCTTTGTTCTCAAGATGGCATAGCAAATAGCCCAGAGCACCCAGGCAGTGGCTTCATGGGCCCCTGGTAGCGGTAAATCAGAACTTAACTAGAAAGAAAGCTTTATTTCCTCGTAGTTGACTAGGTAATACTAATTGATTTAAACTCATATTTGGAGTTCTGACAGAGTGGCCATCTTACCCTAAGTCTTCTAAAAGTACAGGAGATTCTTCATATTCTCTTGACAAAACCTTTTGGAGTTTCATCAGATCTCTTTAGAATTAAATAAGTCAGGAATATTGGAAGTTTGAGGTTCAGCAAAAGTTTGTGCTTTTTCTTTTTCTTTATTTTTATTGATTTTAGAGAGAGGAATGGGGGCGAGGGAGAGAAAGAAACACCCATTTGAGAGTGAAACATCTATCAGTTGCCTCTGCCTGACCAGGAGTCGAACCTGCAACCTGGGTATATGCCCTGATGGAATCAAACCTGCCACCTTTCGGTGTACGGGGACATTGCTCCAACCAACTGAGCCACACTGGCCAGGGCAAAAGCTTGTGGTTTTTAAAGTCTCGGATGTCAGGTAATTGGGGCCTTTGATATACATCTAATTGCTAGAAATAGTTTGTATCCCTTTTCAAATTCTTAGAGTAAGAAGTAATTGGTTTTCTTTTCATCCTACTTTTTGTTTTCTTTACCAGAGTTCTATAATAAGATGAAGAAATATTTAAAAATTGGTCCATTAGTTTTGTGTTCAGCTTTCAGGGAAAGAAATATAGTAGAAGAAATTCTGGGTTCTAATCTTGGCTTTGCTGTTACTAGTTTTGTATTCTTAGGCAAATTGTAGACGGCTAGAACTGGGAAAATCCTCTTCAGACCTGATAGGGCTCTCTCTTACTTTTTCATAAAAGAAAAGAACAGTGAGTAACCCTTCTGAACTTACCAAGTTGCCATGAGAATCAAATGTAGCCCTAGCCAGTTGCCTAGTGGTTAGTGTTCTCCCTTGGACTGAGGAGTTGTGGGTTCCATTCCTGTCAAGGGCACACACCTTGATTGCAGTCTCGATCCCTGGCGCCGATCAAAGCATGTGCGGGAGGCAACCAATTGATGTGTCTCTCTCACATCGATGTTTCTCTCTAAAATCAATGTATATGAAAGTGGCTTTGAAAATTTATGAAACACTG